TCTGTGAATAATAAATAAATTGAAACAAATCAAACAAATAAATTACGTACGGAATTTATTTTTATCGAACCAAATGAATATTTTAAAAGATCAAGTCGAGTGTGTGTCACTCTGTCCTTAAGATAGATTCGCCCCACTTCGGTGCTTACGGACTTATGGCGTCTATCTTCCAGGATACAATAATCTTCACAAATTGTAGTGGCACTCCAAATAATTTGTTCGGCGAACAAAAACCTTATGTTCTATACTATCTTTAATTTTTCCCTAAACAACTAATATGAAGAATAATGCAAAGGAGTAAAACATGAAGGAAACAAAGAAATTGCAGATTATTTCAGGATACCAAAACTGTTGAAAAGTGCTGGAATATATAAGGCCGAACATGTGTGTTTTTAAACTGGAACAGGTATGAGTTTAAACCGAACAGGTGCAATATTGTTTCAAACAGATACAATTTGAATTTTTAAACAGATAATTGTTGCAGTTAAATAAACTGTCCAGATTTTGAACTTGTTTGGACAGTTATGAATCTGTTCGAGTTCCAACAGCTCTGAAAATTGTTTGGACTGTTTAACCTGTTTGGAAAAATTGAACTGGAAGGGTAACATTGGACAAAAAAATTAAATTCAAATTCGGCACAAAATTTAAATTAATTTCGTTTAAGAATTCAAATAAATTTTCTCTAAAAAATTAATATAAGAACCAATTCGACCCAAACCAACACCCGGCTCAGTTGGTCGGCCGGTCGGACAACGGTGTACATGTGTTGGTGGTTTAGGCTAAGGTTCACTTTGTCCATAACTCCTCTCTTTTACAAACTTAGAGTGCCCCTTGGGGCCCAACCCAAGTTAGTACACCAAAAGCTTATATATACACAAAAGCTCTTTTAAAGTTTCAATGTGAGACAATCCAATTCAAGGAAACCCACATTTACTTCTTTAATTGTTCATTTCACAAACTCGAAAACGGCGTCAACTTCTGATTCATTCATAAATGGTTTTGACGAACCATCTTCACCGTGTGACTTGCCATGCGGCAAAGAACACGTCACCTCTTTGGATCCACCCTAAAAGACGTTTGGGGCCCACTCAATTTTGGGTTCAAAGTTGGCCCAAAATAAGCCTTATGAAACCAATTTCCAACATATAGTTACCGATATCCGATCATTTTGATTTTTTACATGAATATTCTATTCAACAAGTCTTAAACAATAAATAGTTCGGATTATTGAAACGGGACTTGTATTGGGCTCTACGGGCCCTTCGAGACCTAATCCTTACCCAAAAAAAATTAACTCTGGTTTGCTGGAAATTATGAGAAAGAAGGGGAGGGAGCGGTTGATTTTGGGTGAGTTTCGTAGATTTGGCATTTGTCAAATTTGGCAACAACCATATTGAACCATTGGAGAATCACTTTTCACTCAAAGTTGCTATATTGCTTTGGTAGTTTTAATGACAAACCATTGGACATGTTCTAAGTTAGTATACTTATCGATACCGATCAAGTTAATTTTTTTACATGTATGTTTTTCTCTTTGATACCTATGAAATGAATAATTCGGATCACCACCGTAGATCTTATGGGGCCCACAAAGTGGAGTCTTGATGGGTACGGAGATGATGAAATCTTGAGATGTGTTGCTAAAAAAAAGGTCAAAATTGTTATAATTCAACACTTTTTTATTTTTTCCCTAAAATAAATGAAGAACACTAAAATTCAAGTTATGTGAACTTTTATTTTTAAGAAAGTCTTTAAGAATGTCTCCAATCTTTCATTAATTTTTTGTTTATCTAATTTGATTCTAAATTTGAATTAAAAGTTTGATTCAATGTGAATTACTGCAATCCTTTCATTAAATTCTTTTTCAAAATTTCTCTTTTATCCTAAATTCCCCTTTTCATCAAATTTGATGACAAAAAAGTATCTTCAATGCTTCATCTTTCAAAATTTTCACAAAATTCAAATTTGATTAAAAAAATGACACTTCTTTAATTTTTTAAATAATTTTTAACGTGAAGGATTACCAATGTTTTTATTACACTCCTTTTTCCATTATTGATTTTGAAATTAACTTCTTAAAAAAAAATACGTAGAGACTCCAACTTCTTACAAAACTGATTTTTTTTTCACTTATACAAACTTTCCGTAATCCAAAAAAAATGTTTTACTCCTCTGGATCTTCGGAGATGGAATTTTGTGACAACAGAATTAGTTTTTTTTATTTTAAAAATTTTCTTGATCATGTTACTATATTTAAATTTGTTTATAAATCATTTCTTCTTTTGTGATGTGTATTTGGGGGGATTGGACCCTCTCCAATTGGGTATTTCAATTGGACCCTCCCCCATTTTGTAGTTATGTTTTAAACAAAACTCCTTTCCCATTTGCATAAAAGATGGAAGCAAAATAAGACTAATGAACAGTAAACCATGGTAAAAAAATAGTATTGCTCAAACTTTTTTCTTCGATCTGCTTTTTTCACTAGATTACTTTTCTTAATCTTTCTTTTTCTCTTATGGAGCTTAGTAATGGGTGTTGTAGTAATCTTTGTAGCTTTTCTGTAAGTGATTTTGGTGAATATTAAAATACTGGAATGAAACAGAATGGATTAGTATGATTTATGAAAAACCTAATATAATGGCTTGTTTAAATAACTCATGCACTATAAACTAGATTTCTTTCTCCTCGTAAAAAAAAAATGTTGGCTTGGCCATTACATATTTTGGTGATTGTTGGGAGTATGTGTTGAAGATTTAAGCCAAAAAGAAAATGTGCATAATGAGGATTGAAAAAAAGAAAAGAAAGATAAACATAGATAAATCTTTCTTTTTCTTTTTTTCGAACACAGACTAATCTTAAATGCCTTTCTTAAGACCATATACTTTGGTAAGTTTTGGATCCCCTATTGTCAAAACCAAAATTGATGTCTAATTGTCCCTTACATTGATTTTTTTGCTCATATATATTTCCAGGATTTATAAATTTACATTTTATTTAAGAGAAAACTAAACTTGTAGGTTCTTTTGTCCTCTCTATTTTTGTCCTTTTTTTTTTTTTCCTTTAACCTCTTGGAATATGAGGAATATAAAGGTAATAAAACTAGATAAGAAAACATGTGAAGAAAGTGAGTTGGAGGGTGTGTGATGGCGAGTGGTGCCTGATAACTGATAGATACTTTTAAGCAATTAGAAAGTTTATTACATACTATGTGACGTGATTTGAAAATATTGAACATTAGGAATTTTTTTCTCTTAATTACTTTTTTTGCTTTAATTCATCTAATCTAACTTTATTATTATTTTTCATATTTTATTTTATTTTTTTGTTTCATGTATCGATACTAGAATGGCTATTGAACGACTTTCAAATCCTTTTTTACTTTTGCCAATTTTTAGGGCGACAATTTCATTTTTAAAGTTGCCTTAGTTGATGTAATTGATGACTTTTTACATTAATCATCTTTGCAATAACTCTTTGGTTTAGCCACATTCAATCATTATATGAATGCAATGATTTTTGTTGACAACTTATTTGGGTAAGTTTGATCAAAGAATGGATTTACTCGACTTAGATTTAAATTTATACTATATATGTCTTTCAAGTTTAGAGTTTCATAAACTGTATGAGTGATAAGAAGAAGAGTGCCTTTAGATACGGGTGATACGCTAGTATTTATATGTGTCATGTATATGTAGAGAGAGAGAGAGAGAGAGTGGTAAGAAAGAGAGTGCCTTTAAACACGGGTGATATGCTAATATTTATACATGTCATGTATATGTAGATAAAGAGAGAGAGGGAGAGAATCTCTTCCTGCCTTTCGCTTAGGAAATTTGCAAGAAATCTGAAATGAATGAGAGTCAAAGAAAGGGATGTTCATGTTCCATTGGATGGGTTATGTGCTTGGCCATCTTTGGCAAGGCATATTTGTTAGCTAAAAATAATAATAAAATAGCAAGCAAACATGGAATTTAGCACAAAAAATACATTAATAGATAAGATTTTTTTTTAAAATGTTGGTTCATCAATATATTTTTTGTTTTCAATTCTGTGTTTTATATTTTTTCTTTCTTTTTTTTTTTTTTTTTTTGGTATTTTTTTTTTTTTTTTTTTATGTAGAGAGAGAGAGAGAGAGTGGTAAGAAAGAGAGTGCCTTTAAACACGGGTGATATGCTAATATTTATACATGTCATGTATATGTAGATAAAGAGAGAGAGGGAGAGAATCTCTTCCTGCCTTTCGCTTAGGAAATTTGCAAGAAATCTGAAATGAATGAGAGTCAAAGAAAGGGATGTTCATGTTCCATTGGATGGGTTATGTGCTTGGCCATCTTTGGCAAGGCATATTTGTTAGCTAAAAAAAATAATAAAATAGCAAGCAAACATGGAATTTAGCACAAAAAATACATTAATAGATGAGATTTTTTTTTAAAATGTTGGTTCATCAATATGTTTTTTGTATTCAATTCTGTGTTTTATATTTTTTCTTTCTTTCTTTTTTTTTTTTTTTTTTTTTTGTTTTTTTTTTTTTTTTTTTGGTAGTTTTAGCTATATTGGAATTGGAATAAAAATAAAATAGTAATAATAATAATATGGCAATACATTGTTGATTAGGTGAGTATGGGAATTAGCTAGTTCAGTTAACGTAACGTGGTGTTAACATTTCTTTATAAGTTCAAAATTCAAATTTTCCACTAAAAACTTAATGGTACAACAACTTAAAATACGCTTACGTTCATTGTCAAATTCATTTTCAAGCACTAAATTATTTCAATTCACATCATTTTTAAGTACACACACTTTATAATTTGATTATTAATCATTTCTCAATCCATATCCTAAATGTATCAATTATACCTTTCTTTCGGGCCCTTCAACCCTCCTTCCACGCACTCTTACTACTACGATTTGGAAATTTGTAGATCCACGGTACTACAATAGTCAACGTGAAGATCCACAGTGAAGAACCAAAGTACTCTATTGAAGACCTCCATTCCATTGAAGACCCCATTAAAAAAAAGTTGTAAGTCAAAAACAGAGTGCTTAATCTGATTTATGGGAGGCCAAGAGCAAGCTCTGTGGAAGTTTCGCTGATAACGCCTCTTCTCTTTTCTAAGAAGGCGTTTACTAGTAGCTTTTCCATACGTTTCTTCACAAATTTTACATGGGATTTATCCCCTAAAAAAAAAAATTTGTAACTCGACAGTATAGAGCCGAATAAAACAACACAATTCGGCACTTGAGAGCCGAAATGTATTAATAAATTTGATTCTTAAATATCAAAAAAATATTAAAAATTGGTATTAAAGTGTCGGAAAAAAAATAACTCAGCAGTTGATATCCGAATATGATAATATAATTTGGTACTGGTTGTCTGAGTGAAAACTGCGAAAAGAAAAAAAAAATGTGCATGAAAAAATTGACCTTTTCATCATTGATTTTGCTGGTACTAGACATATTTTTGCTTGAGTTTGAACTTTCATTATTTTGCAACTCCTCCATAACAAAATCAAACAAAAATTGTGGAACTAATAAAAAATAATATAAATAATAGAGTATAAACATAGGGATTAAAGCAATATTAGAATTGTTATGAGAGTATTGTTTTATAAGTAATAGAGGAGTATAGAGTGTGTAGTAAGCAAAGTGACAACAATAGAGGGAAAAAAAAACTAAACAGGTTTAGTTTTTTTTTTAAGTCAAAAGGTCTATACTGAGATTTTTTTTTATTTGTAAAAGATGTATACAAAGGATATTTTCAAATAATATTGTGGGTGTTGGTGGATGTTCATCATGGTCATTTTAATTTAGAATATAATTGTCATTAAAATGATATTTCATTAAGAGTGCTGTTATTAGCACCTACGTTTTTCCTTTGGACCCCCTCATTTTCTTTATTTTTTTATTACAATTTTGTCCTAACACTAATTTACATTTTTACCCATCTCCATCCTTTCAACCCTAACCCTAATCCTAACCATCCACCTCCACTTCCACTCCACTGCGGCCGGCAGCCCCTTTCTCTCTTCTTTTTCTTCTTCTTCTTTTTCAGCAGATCTGACCACCCTCCCATCACCTCTCACTACCGTGATCCCCTTCCATCTCTCTCTCTCTCTCTCTCTCTTCTTCTTCTTCTGGATTTATGGTCGTCCCCACCATCGTGAACTCCTCACCGCCAGGTCGTCGAGTCCGACCATCTTCTTCTTCTGGGTTTGTGGTTGTCCTATTGTTGCAAACTCCTCACCGCCATAGCCGTCGAATCTGACTTCGATCTCGATCCCTAACCATCTTCTTCTTCACCTTCTCTCAAAACCTTAACCCTAGCCCTAGGGTTTTCAGAAATGGTAGCGGCAATCTGGGTCGCAATGAGAAGAAGAAAGAGGAAGGTAGCGACAATGGTGGGACTGCCAGCAGTGAAAGCTCCGGTGGGTGAGCTATCGGAGGTGGTGGTTGGAAGTGGGGGCTAGGGTTTGGGTTTAGGGTTGCGTTTGGGATTAAGGGTATAGTTGGTACTAAGGTAGGGGTTCAAAGAAAAAATGGAGGGGTTTCATTTTGTGGGGGTGGGAGTTCAAAGAAATTTGGGAGGGGGGCGCCAAAGTAAAAAGGTGGAGGCAAATAGCAGCCTTGTTCATTAAGTGTGTAGATTGAGATAATTAAGTGCGTGAAAATAAAATTTCCCAAGTTCATTGGTATTAACATTTCTTTATAATCTCAAAGCCTAAATCTCCCTCTAAAAACGTTCAACTTAGGTTATATTTGGTTTAGGAATTTTAGAAGGAATTTAGAAAAGAAAAAGAAAAAATTGTGTTAAACGTACATTTCACCTACGTTTTACACATTTTACTTTTCTCTTTCAAAATTCTTCTCTAAATTCAAGAATCAAACATAACTTTGAAATAGACTCGAATTCTTAGTTGTTTTAGTCTTATTTTTATTCTTTTGTGTTGGGTGAGAAGCACACTTTTTAACACAATCTCACAGTTCTTATGAAGTTAATTTTGAACTAATTTGCTAGTTTTTTTTCCATCAGCAATGCCAAGTACTAAGAAGAAAAAAAATTAAAAAGAAACTGTCCAGTGTTTAAATCGTATGAATCAAATTTATTTTTAGTCCATACAATCACTCTGAAAGCTATAGTTTGGAATAAGACCAAAACAAAATTTCTCTTCTCTATATATGGATTTCTCCATGGAATATATATATATACAAAACAATTTCTCTGACATTCCTTTTGAACAATGATCTCTTAGTTACAATTCCCTTGTCATTAAATTAACACTTTTTTCAACCTTGAGCTTAAAAAAATTTGTTTTTTAGTCAGCTTAGACAAGATACTTTAAAAAATAATAATAATAAACAAATTACACTGGTAGTCTCTGCATTTTATTTCTTATATTATTTTGCTCCTTAAATTTTTAATTAACTCGATTTTAATCCTTAATTTTGAATTGTGTATCAATTTGATCTAGTTAATACCGCTGGTAAGAGTTTTTGACAAAAAATTGTCATTGAGTTGGTTGAGATTAACTCACTGAAGTGAACAAGTTTACAATTTTATCCCTAAAGCATGATACATGCCATGCTGCTCAACATGCACAATTTCTATCAAAAATACTAGCAGGAGTAATCAATTAAACCAAATTGATACAAATTATAAATTTAAGATCAAAATTGAATCAATTGAAACTATAAGGATCAAAATGATATAAACACTAAAGCATAGGGAGCTACAGATGTAATTTGTCCAAAAGAAAAATTATCACCTTTTATCTGTATGAAGCTCTGGAGGACTAGATTTTCCCACCACCCAAGCACCTTCATATGAGAAAATTATATCCCACACAAACCAACCATCCGCCCGCATCTCATCGCAGCCGGTATTCAACCTATTACGACTTCAGGTTTTCTTGAATTCTATCGTAAGCTATACCAAATAAAAAAAATAAAAAATAAAAAGAAATCGATCACCCGAGAGAAAACAATTTTTCTTGCAGCAATAGACCCTGTTTGGTGAGCTGTTTAATAACAAATTTCAACGGTTTTGAGAAACTCATTACGCATAAAATCCAAAATTCACTACATTTAGATCATCAAAACTAAAAACCCAAACCAAACACACCACACAAACAAAGAAACTAAAAACCCAAAGAAACCCTTCTCAAAGGTGACACTGACATTAACACTAGCAGTGATCTTGAAATCGGAACGACACAGACTTTCAACAATGGCAGAGCGGCCTTGCAGCCAAGAAACTCGAAAACAACCAACAAGAAGCTGTCAAACAGCTTCAATTACCAATCGCATCTCGATCAGCAAGGTACTTCGCAAGAGAATTAATTGGCTTAGTAGTATCAAGATTACCTATTTCCCGACGCCTAATTTTGATCCGAGCAAGGTAATCAGCAGCAATCCAAGAAAAGCTCAACATCACCATCTTCCCAGAACCATCACTGTCATGTAACTCAATTGACTTCTTCACCCAACTAGGATGGTAAGCGACTTGGTACCACGCTGAAGCCTTGCGTTCATACATTGTATTCTTAGCATCATCGGAAAGTTGATCGAAATCCGAGCCCATTTTCTCAAAAGCTTGCCTCAACTCTTTACGAAGGGAATTGTAAGCATGCTTGAGCTTCTCTTGCAAATCTCCTCGCTTCCGGCTATGGTACTTTGGCATGGACCATATGTGGCCAGTTACAATCTCCTCTTCCCTAACCACTTTATACTGTCCAAGAAGACCATTCAACTGCCCATCATAAGAGCACTTGTGCTCCCACGCATCAGCAATGAAATCCATGGATCCTGGAATCTCAAGATCACCGTCATAGGGAATGCTTTCAGGAACAAATGTTTGCTCTGGATATGCTTCCACATCTTCATCATAAGCATCTGTGATTTTACGATAGAGTCTGCCCAAAATTTTTTTTGACTTGTACGACCGATACGCTTCTTTGCCCATGAAGTCAGGATACATTTTTGGTTTCAGTTCAGATGGCATGGTCACGATCTTTCCAGTTTTGGGAAAATCAACAGCTGTGGCAGCTTTCTCTGCCAGTGTCAGGCACTTCTCATCCTGTGCTCCGTCTTCACTGCAGTCTGCATGAACCACATGGGCATTGCATATTGCACCCAAATTCTCGTTCACTATGTTTCTAGTAAAGAAATCGATTATGTCCTGTAAATAAATAAAAAAAACATAAATATAGTCAGAGAGTAGTTCTTCACACACCATCCTCACATCTTTTTCCTGAACGACTAACCCTCATATAGCACAATGTGGATGTCTGAATAACTACCGCCACACAGGGGCGGCCCAACTATTAGGGTAGTCGGACAACTGCTTTAGTTGCCCCCCATATCTGAGAAGATCCCTACATTTTTTAGACCCGTAATGAATATACTTTTCTATTTGGTAAAGAACCTTAATTGTGGCCCTTAGTAAGGCCCCAAATTGGCAAAGCCCAAAACTAGATTGTTTCTCTAGGCGGCAAAATTCAAATGCGGCCAAACAAAAAGTAAAGCCTTATGTGTCGTGTCGAATGTCCTTGCTACTTTGAATTTTTTTTAAAACATGACATTTTATATGATATTGAGATGGTTTATATCCATTTCAAAATTAAAAGTTTCAAATAACAAATTATAAAAATAGAAGGAAAAGAAAACATACTCTAATTGTCATACTAAATTATGTTTAAAAAAGCTAGATTATTTTCTTACTAAATACATTGCCTACAAAATAAAATTAACAATACCTGTAATAATTTCTTCAACAGAAAGAAGTTTCTCAAAATTAAAATCGGTAAAATCCTACCTAAGATCAATTATATCATGAGAAACATTAATTGGATTAGCCATATTAAAAGTCCTTAGTTTGAGATTTTGACTAAGGATCCCAAAATGGATGGATCACCCCTACCGCCACATGGCAAGCCATCTCGGTGTCAAATTATCTCCTAAATAAGCCATTGGAGTCATGAGCCTACCTTAAATGGGCACATGTAAAACCAAGTACAGTGACTTGGTTAGCTAATGCGTTTGGCTCCATAGCTTGAGGTCATGGCACCAAAAGATGAGTCGAAGCAAAAGGCACACCAAAGTGTGGTCCAGAGCACCACTTGACTGGGCCAAGGCATCTCCGCTTGGCCACCC